GAAATAAAAATTGCTGCATTCTGTGCCGATCACAAAATTGCCTACAACGCATTGGATCACCTGTCAGACCTGCTGAAAGAATGTTTCCCTGATTCCAGAATTGCTCAAAAATGGCTGTGAAATGAACCACGGGAACGGCAATTATCAAAAATGTCATTGGCGAGACGGAAAGGCGCGTACTTGCGGAGAAGCTGAAGAAGACTAAATTCAGCATTTTGACAGACGAATCCACAGACATTTCGGCTACTAAAACAATTTGTTGCTTGTGAGATATTTTGATGAAGGAGAAGGCAAGGTTGTATCGAAATTTTGGGGCTTGATACAGGTTTTGGAACCTGGGAAGGTAACAAGTGCAACAGCAGAACACTTGTACAACAACATCATCAAAAGCTTCACAGAGCGAGGGGTTTCAATGGAAAATGTCGTAGGCTTTGGATCTGATGGTTGCAGCGTTATGATGGGTGTGCATAACTCCATTGCTAGTCGTTTGAAGCGAGATTATCCACACATTACGATCCTAAAGTGCATTTGCCACTCACTGCATATTTGTGTAAGCGAAGCTTGTAAACAATTACAACGTAGTTGTGAAGACTTAGCTCGCAATATCTACAATTTTTTCAATAGCAGTTGTAAGAGGCAAAGTGAGTACGTGGAATTCCAGATGTTTACGAACGTTGAGATCCACAAACTCTTGCATCCATCCCAGACACGTTGGTTGTCGTTAGCATCAGTGGTAGACAGAATTCTCGAACAATGGCCTGCTATGCTATTGTTTTTCAAATGATCAGTGGCTGTCTCTTATACACATCTAGATGTNGAAGTCAACAGATATTTTCAGTCTGCCAAAGTTGTAATCACAGATCTTCATGAGGCCATGATTGATCTGTATAAGACCCTCCTTTATAGTTTCATGAAGAGAAACTACGTGAATTCTCATTCATTATCAGGAGTGGACCCTGAGGATAAATCCCATTATCTTCCAATTGAAGAGATGTATCTGAGGGCACAGGTGCTACAAGAGCAGCAGAGCAGGAAGATCCAGGAGTGCCCGGATCTACTGAAACATTTTCGAGAGAAATTTCAGGCCTTTTTGATCTCTGCCTGTCTTGAGGTACGAAAGCGATATGACTTTGAGAATAGTTTTTTGGAGAACCTGAGAATTTTCAAGCCCAAACACGCGCTGTCAAGCACTGAATGAGAGAAAACGCCTTCTCTCATTCCTCTTCTAGTCACGCCCCTCAGAGTTTGTGCCAAAGAGAATTACCAGGACATTGATGACGAGTAGCGCCGGCTTTGCTGCTACCCTCTTGACAACGAGATGAAGGGACTGGACACTGATGTATTCTGGGAAACTGTTGGCCCTGAAGAACGATGGCGATGTCCATTTGTTTCAGAATTTGAGTCGCTGCGTTCTCAATGTGTTATCGCTTCCCCATTCAAACGCCGACAGCAAAAGAGTGTTCTCCAAAGTCAACCTTATAAAGACGTAATTGAGNGTTTGTTTCAGAATTTGAGTCGCTGAGTTCTCAATGTGTTATCGCTTCCCCATTCAAACGCCGACGGCGAAAGAGTGTTCTACAAAGTTAACCTCATAAAGAAGAAATTGAGAAATCGCCTCATCGTTTCCACCGTTCGAGGTACCCTGTTTACCATCCAGCATGTCGTGGCTAGCGATGGCTGTGTTGCTTTCAGACCTACCAAAGAGATGTTGTCGAGGATGACCAAAGACTCACTCTACGATAAGCCAAAGAAATTCGAAAGTATGACAGTGCAAGATGAAGAAGATGACGGAGCGGATGTGATATTCGAGGATGTCTAAATTGAGACTCGAGATTATTCAATATTTATATTATTAAAAAATGTTCAAGATGACAGAGGTACTACTCTATTCAAAGAAGTCCAGATTGGGCCTTGAGATTATTTCATATTTATATTATTAAAAAATTATTCGAGGAAGTCTCGATTGAGAGTTAAGATTGTACTAATATTTGTGTTAATTTGTGTTATTAAAAAAAGTTTATGATACAAAACTTTTGAATTTTCTCCAAGAACCCTATTTTATCGGCGGATACCATTATTTCCTCTGAAATACCATTATTTCTCCCACCCCATACTATGATCTGAGGGCCACGGATTGGCAACGCTGAGTTAGCCTGAAGGGCCTCAGCAGATATTACCTCATCTACTTCAAATTTCTCACCGTTTAACAATTCGATTTCTCCCTGACCTACTCCCTCCGTTCTCAAATCCGCTTGTTTATTTTTATTCGCGTATTTGATCACGCCTTTCCTTTGTTCGTCAAGGGACTTGAAAATCAGTTTCAAATTTGTAAGGTGCTCCGTAGCACCAGAATTTGCTAGGAATTCGGTAATAAATTTGTCTTTGTCAAAACAAACACCTACATGCAATGCCTGACCTTCACAAAACTCATCATTCACTTCCACGTACTCTCCTGTCTCATTCGAATCTAATGCACCCTTCTCTTTGTAGTCTCCTCCTGAAGTTTTGCTTGAGCCCTCCTTATTAGACTTTGTACTGGTCTTGGGCTTTGAGTACTTGTTGTCTCCTTTACCCTTCAGGTTATAGTATTTCCCCCTTTTTCGCGCCTTTTGGGTCATTCGCACCTAAACCCTCTGACCTTCTCTTCAATGACCCACCACCACGCCCAAATCCATGAAAACTATTTCCCTGCGATCTAGTGTATCTTATGTTATGGCTTGTTGTTTTTCTTACCTGAGTTTGGGCAATCCTTAATTATGTGTCCGTAGCCTTTACAACTGTAACACATTTTGCCCTTACCCTTGCCCGGGCAGTTTCGGCCGAGGTGCCCATAGTCCCTGCACTTAAAACATCTCTCCTTAAATCCGGTGAGGTTCGCAGCTCTCACCTCACTGCTCCTCTCCCCAGACTGTTTCCTTAATGCTTCTTTCTGCATAACAACAAGTTTTAATTGCTCATAAGTTGGGGGCTGCTCACCTCTAAGTTTAGCTGAGGACTGTAGGTACTGTACCATCGGTACAGACCCCATGATGGCATTATTAAATGCGTCCCTCTTTTCCTCATCGGATGAAGGGGTGGCGTCTGCTGAATTTTCGTAAGTTCGAATCACCTCCTCGAACTTCTCACAAAACTCGACTGCTGTCATTTTTCCAATTACATACTGCATATTGGAGATTTCTTTCCTCACCGTAAATGAAGATAAATTAGTTTCGTATCTTTTCATCTTTGTGAGTTTATTTAGAATAGCTATTGGATCTTCTAGTAATACTACTTTAGAGTGATAGTTTTTATCGATGTGATTGATCAACATGTCTCTCACTTTAAATTTATGCTCATCCAAAGTCTTTTGATCGCCAATGAATTTTACGTTACTATCTAAGACATGCAGGAGTTTGTGAGATCTCACTTCTCACTTAAGATAGTCATAGATGTGTTCAAATCTAGTGTTACTATCTAATTCGTAGTCTCTTTTAACTGATGTTCCTTTGTTAAGGATCTCCAGTTTTATGGCTTCAGCAACTTCTTTAGCAGTGCTATTTTCAGTGCTTCCACCACTTTGACTCTTTTCTTCTCGCCTCAGATGTTCCCATTGTCTTTTGATAATATTCTCAATTCTCACTTCTAATTTTTCATCCTCATCTAAATCATGGCCATTATTTGGTAAATCTGACCCATTTCTCACCTTTTTACCAGGGTCCTCAGTTTCAGCCCTCAGCGGACTCTCCGTCCCGTCAACGATGCGGGAGAGCCCGTCATCCCGGCCGTTCCTCATCTCACTCATCTCTTTTCTCATTTCTTTGATGCTGTCTAGTATCCAGCCACTAGTGTCGGTCTGAATATTCAAAACCTTCACGAGTGTGCTGGTCACAGCATCAAGTTTCGAGCACACCGATTCAAGTCTGCCTTCCACTGGAATTTCAGTTCTTGGCTTGTTCGCATGGTATTTCATTGGATTTGTCGGGTGGTTTTGTAACGTGGACCTTATTTTAACTTGAGGTTCCACGTACTCGATTTTGTAATCTGGGGTTTACTTTTACCTGCTTTGAGAGCTTCAATTACTGCCGCTTGTTCCGCACCTTGTTAGGCCGACGCACCATTACTTTCCTCGCCGTCCTCACCGTTCTCACCGTCCTCACCGTTCTAACCATCCTCCCCGTTCTCACCGTCGCTCTCCTCACCTTTGCTCATCTCACTCACCTCGGCAGTAATTGGTGGTTGCTTCTCATAGATTTTGGGCATGATGGGAAGCTTATTGGCGAGGAGCTTCTGCTCATGCCACTCCACCAGTAGTCTTCACTGGTTCTGTGTCATCATGCTTTTGGCTGTTGTGATAAATAGAATCTATGAATATCAGTATTATCATTTGTATATTATGCCCTTTCACCGACCAACCGAACACAAGTATAGTCGACTTCAGGACAGTCAGACACAGACGAGATATGACCACAATATCGCCTCTATGCCTGACAGAGCTGATCAATTTCCACGCACTGAACACAAGTCCTTTGGAGCAACCAAACTTCAGATTTTATTCTAAATTTTTAACTAATATTTTTGTTTTATTTGATTATTTGCAGTGCTTAGTTAATTTGTGATTATATTTGCTAGCTAATATCCTCACAAGTACTTTGACCGCATGCATTTCTCATCGTAACTCTCCTTTTTAATTCATCTCAACGCACCAAACTTATAACACTTAATTGTGGCTGTTCGTATTAACCGGTCTCCTTTACTAACTCGAGGACGACGTCCTCTCCTTTATGGAATTCATCAAATCCAAAGAGGAATGTTAATTGCCTCCACAGCTCCCACAAGTCGTCACCTATGGTAGCTGATTTGAGCTTGTTTTTATTTTTGTGCACTCTCGCCTTATTTGTATTTCGCATGAATTTCAAATTTGGATTTAGTTTTGCCGCCAGCCGCAGTTGCGATACGCGCGCGCTGGCGGAGAGCCGCGTGACCCCTTTTCTTTTCTACAGCTCGCCATCTCATCATTCGCTCGAGCTTTGCATGTGCTGCTTAACTACCACCACTCCTGGTCACTATCCCCACCAATGCTGCGCGCGCACCCACTACGTTAACCGACTCTCTATACTGTTCGCGTCCCTCACCGATTCTCTATGTATTGGACGCGTCCCTCACCATGTTACAACTTTCCCAACTCATCCCTCAACATATATTATTCCCACCTATTTCAATCTATTTGTATTTTAATTGTCTTTGGGATTTTCAATTCCCCAATTGAATATTTTAGTTTTCTCCCGGATTTTCGTTTGATGGTTTGGCCAACGTTTGCTGTCCACCATCTTGTCTCCCAGCGTCCACGTTGTTTCTGTGATGACGCAATACCTTTCCGTTGCCTGGGAGACGCTTACCACCGGTATAGCCCATTCAACTGTACTTACGCCTCTCTCCTCCCGGCTTTTCCATCTTTCCAGCCTTTCCTCGCATTTCCTCGCCACCTCAGACCACCAGATACTTGGCACTGTGTTCCTGAGGGTTTGTCCTTATTTTTCACTATCACTCTTATTTTTCGTTTCTCACTTGAGTTTTTATTTGCGCTAGGGAGCGTGCTCTGGGCACATAACCTCTTGGATTGCGTGTGTGGACACAATAAATAGTACACGGGTTTTCTTGATAAAACACTGGTTTATTGGCTACAACACGCCTCTCGTCTCGCGTCTCGCAGTAGAGTGAACTCTCACAAGTTACAACCTGATGGAGAGGAGATCCGCGTATGCGCAAGATCTAGTTTCCCATAACGAATATATATATATATATATATATATATATCATATGCAAGGGCCTAAGCCCAGTGGGAGCGGGAGCTGGCGCCACCTTTCCAACATTTATGTATCCATGTACTGTGATAAAGACAACTCAAAAAGAAAGTTTCAAACGGTCATTCTCCATTCTGTTGTTTTTTTAAAATATTTTTTTGATCGTAGAGTTCAGAAAATTTTCTAACCGATACCTATTATCATTTTTGTTTCTCTGAAGAATTTAGAAGTGAAGTGGACAGAAGAACAAAATTCATTCGTCCTAAAAGATTATCGTATCGAAAAAACTAGAGTACAAGTCCCCGAATAATTTTATAATTTTTGGAACTACTCATTCGGTGAAACATGGAATCAAAAAACTCCTTCATATAGGGTGGTAGGTAATAACTTTTTTTTCCTCTTAGTCTCTGATAGAAAATATCATGGATTCCGGAAAAAATCTGGCAAAAAAATTCATTAAACCGATTTTTTTATATTGAAAATTAAAAGTTGGCCAATAAACGTTGAGGAATTTGATGTCCGAAGTTGACTCAAAATTCCGGAGAAACATCCGGTAACGTCGCAGATAACGTGAAGTGTGTTGATAACATGCTAGGGATTCTATTTTGAGGAAACCTTAGTCATAGGTTACAAAAATGCAAGATGGGAAGATGAACTTATTAATTTTTATAATCAACATGTGCATATGATGTAGAAATAATCTTGTGAAAAATTGTCAAATGTGAAAGCGAAAGTGTGACCATCTGGCAGCAATGCACCAAAAGTTAATATTAGGGTAACGAAGGGGTTTTATTGTAGAATGACAGATAAAAATGGAGGGATAATTTTACGAGGAAGAAAATCATTTAGAACATAAACTGTAAGTCTTGGGTATTGACGAGGATACTCACGTCTTCCCGGTGACCACTGGATATTTAAATTATACACCAAGTGCATGCTGGGCGATTTTTAATTATTCCTCGGGAACTAAAAAAGTCTCGAGTACCTTTGCGACATATTTTCGCATGCACGCAGTCCCGATGACCAATTGAAATTTAAATCGTACACCAAGTCCGTACTAGACCATTTTCAACTTTTCCTCGGGGAATTGAATTTTTCCCACAACTTATGGGACATGTACTTTCAGATGCACGTGGTCCCGATGACTAGTGGCAATTTAAATCGTGCCCTAAGTTCCTACTTGACAATTTTTAACTTATCCTCGGGAATTAAATTTTTCCCATAACCGTTGGGACAAGTATTTTCAGATGTACGTGGTCCCGATGACCAGTGGGCATCCAAATTATGCATCAGGTCACTCGTCGTCCATTTAAAATGTGGCATTCCGAATACACGCGGTCTCGAGGACTATTAGCATCTAAACTATGCACCAAGTCTCTCATAGTGCATTTTGAATGACTGTTAGGTATATGTGTGCACATGTGTGTTCGTATGTCCAGAACTGTTCCCACAACTCAAAAATTGTTGAGGCAAGGTGCTGCAATTCTGGCTGCTAATTGGTATTACTGAGACTCAAATTTGTACCAAATTTCAGCTCGATCGGTTGAGCGGTTACTGATATAGTTATTCTTCAAAAATCGTTTTTTGCCGATATCTCCTGAAGCCGATTCGTTCTTTCTTTCAAAATACTCGCCATGATACCTATTTGATTGGATTGAAAAAAGACTATTACACCCCAAGCAATGTAGTTTTATTCTTTTTTTTTTCATTTTTTGGCTAATATTGCTTGTTTGCACGATGATATAAAAAATAATTGAGATAGAAACTTGAAGCTTGGTATGATGTTAGTTCTTATGGTAAGTTTGGGATTCTAGATGATCGAAATCGGAGTAGTTTCGGCGATATTCAACTTTGTATGTGAAACTTTTTTGCTTAATGTCTCAAAAACTATTGGTCCGAATTCAATTTTTTTATCAAAATGTGCGTTTTGATGGCATCTATCCAGATTAGACAAAATATTCAGATTAGGTACTACAGCATTGAAATTTTTCGAGAGATGGTCGTTTTTGTAGCTTTTTGGTCCGAATTCACTTCTGTCAAATTTTAGGTCGATATATTTGATAGTTCTTGAGATGGTACAATTCACCCAAAGTTCTTGAGAGAAAAAATTAACGAATCTATATTTCACCTTTCATTTTCACATCAGGATAATTGAGAAATCCATATAACATGAATATATGTTTTTTTCAAATTTAGTTTATAGAAATAGGGGAAAATAAGACGAAGCTTAAAGGAAAGCTTCCCAGGTGTACCTCACCGATTTTCTTCATTTTGACATATGTTATTTTACATGAAAAATGATTGATCACGTATTATTGTACGTGCTAATTCGGTCATAGAGGGCAGAAAATGGCGTATGAAGTTCACTCAAAAAAAAAAAATTTTCGCGCTTTTTCGAAAACTACGCAATATTTTCCCAATTTTTTTTCTGCATTCAATTACTTATTCGGACGGGCTCTTATGGATGTAGGATTCGTTTACATGGCTTGGCTTTTTGAATGATTTATTGAACAAAAATAGGTTTTTTTTATACACTTTTTCAGTGTAAAAATTCTCAATTTGGCTGAATCTCATTGAAAATGGGTGCCTTTGATAAAAAATCGAAAAACTAAATCGACGTGTTTCAGGGTTTCCACCAAACCACCCGTTTAGGGGGTAAACAACCCCTGGGAATGGTTTAATCCCATTAACTCAAATTTCTACAAACTTGCATGATCATTCTGCATAAAATGGTCTGAATAATATGCTCTATTTGTTCATCATGATAGAAATCTATGAAGGGAGTATTTTTTTATTTTTTTGTGGCATTTTGGATTTATCAAAAAGTATAAAAAAATTAAAAATTGATTAAAAATTATTATAAATTGGAAAATCAGTATAGGAACAAAAATGATCAAGTTTCATGTATAGTCCCGAACTTTGTGTAAATTTGGTCCGAACGAACCAAGCATGTAATTTTTGCTTCATTTCACTGTCTATAGTTTTTTTCAACTTTCTGTTAATCATGATAAGTCCAAATATGGTTTTATCAAAATGAGGGTGGCCCTAGTCAAATGTATATAGCCCTCCCATGATAATCCTCAGGAAAGGGATGTTGATCAGATTCAAGTTGTTGTCTCGTTTCTCGAAACTTTATTTGATAGTCACTGTAGAATCAAGTCAACATAGAATTTTTATGTTCACTGAATGTACGGTAATTTCCCTGAAGCAACATTTTAAATTTAATAATCACGGGGAACTCTTACACGCTATATTTTTCTTCAGTTTTCATCGTACGTGATACGTATTAAGGTTCATAATGTTTGCAGTAATGATAGTCATCCAAGAAATGCTCCAGATATAATGATTTTTTACACCAAGAACATCTGATAATTGCTATATTCGAACAACCGTCCACTTCATAGTGACCATTGGAATTTTTTTAAAATGAGAATTCAACAGGGTTATCAAAATTTTCGGGTTATTTGCTGATGTAACCACTGTTATACCTCAAGAATTAAAACAAATCTACAGGGTGACGAATGGGAATACGTGAAAAGTTTTCCCCTATAATTCCTTCTCCACTTTGTCACCAGGGATTGGGTTGTTGTAGATTAAAACTTGGATCCTAGCAAATTCTGTTGGGACACGCCGGGTTCTAGTTCATATTCTCCAAAATGAGTGAGCTTACTATCGAAGAAAAAGTGTATCTCATTGAGTGCTATTATTCCCAAGGAGAAAATTACACAAATGCGTATAGAAGCTTTCGTAGTAAGTTTGCTAGTCACGGACTTGGGAGTGAAACCACTTTCAAACGACATAAATTTTTTAGTTCTCCCATACGATTTTTTTTAGGTTAGTCCCCAATAAATTTTTTGAGTCAATGTGTTCTTTTTTGTAGGGTAATTGATAATTTTTTCAACTATGGTACCCTACAGGATCCTCGTCATGATCTTCCGGATCCTTCTTGTACAGTAACGATGGAAGTAGTGGACAAGGTGTAAAAACTTGTCAAAAATCATCCAACTGATTCAATACGCAAGGCGGCTGCGAAGTTAGAATTGAACCGAGAGACCCTACGTTTGATAACTAAACATTTTCTCAAACTTCATCCTTATAAAATCACTTCCTACCAATTGCTTACGCAAGCTGCTATAGGGAAACGACTTGAATTCAGCAAAGTTTTGACGCAAATGTTTGCTGAAATCGAAGCCAATCGAATTATTTTCACGGATGAAGCTCATTTCTATCTTAATGGCTACGTGAATAAACAAAGTTAACGATTTTGGGGGGAGTGAAAATCCACATCCATCAGTAGCAAAAGCGCTCCACCCTACTAAAGTTACAGTTTGGGCAGCTCCATCGATCAAACAAATATATGTGGAAATCTTGGAAGGGACCATTACAGGGGGAAGTTACCGAGAGATGTTGGAAACCAAATTTTTCCCATTCGCTAAGAAAAAAGGATTGGTGAAAGATTTCTATTTTATGCAAGACAGTGCAACACCTCATTGAATTAATGACCTGTTTGCTGCATTGCACAAAGTATACGGTGATCGCGTCATCGGCTTAGAGTGTCCTCGCTTCACCCGAGCAGGGATGGAATGGGTTATCTCAAAGATTTCTGTTACGCGGACAATCCTCAGACAAAAGAGGCTCTGATAAGCGCTATCCAGAAGGGTGTTTCTAATATTTCTCAAGCTAAAATTGAAGAAGTCTTCCATAGTTTTCAGAAACGCCTTGACTATTGCGAAATTCTGATGGAGGACACTTCGCGAGCATTTACCATTAGTCATATGCCCTTGAATGGGTTTGATCAATTGTTTCACTGTGTGAATTTTTATTAAAAAAAATGAAATGCAACTCCAACCAATTGCAAATAAATTTGCAAAGTCTATTGTGTTTACAAACATGATGGTCCTTCCTTTCCTACATCAATCAACAAAACTATGATAGTTTAATTTTCACCTACCCTCCCTGATGTTTCATACCCACACTTGACCTAAAGTTCCCCAGACGGTGTTATCTCCACAAACCCAGTCTGGATTGGGAGGAAACCTAGAGTTGAAGTTAGAAACCGAATGTCGCACAAACTCCGGACCCAGAGTGGGACCCAGAGTTGTAAATTTTATCATTAAACGAGTATAAATATTGTTAAAGAGTCGGGAGGTAAAGAGGGGGTTTTAAGACATTATTCAAGTAATTCTAATGTCAATTTCTGATTCCGTGGAGATGCCAAATATCATTCCAAGAATGTTACAGCAACCCTAGGTTAAACTCTGGACACAGACTTGATCCCAGAGTTGTAAATGAGCCGATCCGCGTGAAATCCGAAACCCAAAAAAATTGTTGTTTGGGATTTTCTGCTCGATTTTTTTCTAGAAAGTTAGGCATCAGACAAACATGATGAAATTTTTTTTTTTGAAAAATATTGATAATTGCGGGAGTCATGATTTTTTAAAACTTTATATTTTTTTTCGATCAAAATTTTATTTTCAAATTATTACTAATATTCCAATCCCCTTCAGAGCTATCAAAATTCTTTTCAGCAGACTCAAAGAACATGACAAAAATCTTCAAAATGAGATGTCACTCGCTGCATTCCATCTAATTTTACACGCTTTATACGTCAAAACGTCTTTTCCTTCAGTCGCCATTTTCTCAAAAACCTATTTTTTTGAAAATCTGAAATTTTTACCAAAAATCATCAATAAAATGACGAAAATTTTGGTACCAAAAAAAGTTACTATTTTGCAGTAGTTTGGCAGATATGAATTTTTTAAAGAAGCAAATCACTGAAAATGATGAAAAATTGCGTTGTATTATATTACGGGAAGGGCCCTTGTCATTGAATAGGTGGAACGTTCAAGCGTGCAGCTACACGATCTAATCTGTAACGCCCTTTCGAGGATCAAATTACGAATGTGGAGGAATTATATGATTGGGCACGAACAAATCTATCTAACATCACCACAATTTATGTGTCAAAAGATGAGATTCTCGAAATGCAGAAGAAATTATATCAACGATTTGCTAACGTCAAAGGCATTTCAGGAACTCGAGATTACCACTGTTACATACCGATTTCAACTAGTAACATGATGGTCAAACTTTTTTCATCCTCACAACAGGCTGAGACATTCAAATTAGCCGATGATTTACTGTCACTCGAATCTGTTAAATCTGAAGTAATCATCATTCATCAAGGGTAATGGTTGTTGGGTTACATTCTGAATAGAAATCATAATTCTAATGAATTCTCTGCATCTTTAATGGAACCCTGTGGCCCTTCGTCGACTTATAAATATCCCACAGTACAAAAAACAGTGACTGCACCATTTGAACAAATTCTTTGTGAAGTAGATAATTTGAAAAGATCCAAGTCCAACAAGTTCACAATTCCTAAACGAATTGAAAATGCAATTGCTCGTAAATTTCTCGATCACCAAAAAACTCGATCACCAAAAAAAGCTGAGACTCCAACGAACAAGACAGAAAAAGGTGGAGATCCAAAAGTTGTCGAGAGAGTTGAGCCAGGTTCTTCTTGGCTGCTGCTATCCTCTCTCGAACAAGTTTAAGCGAAGCCTGGCGAAGGATGATGTTGGCCTGCTTCGAGAAAAAAGAACTCTTCAAACCAAGGAATTTATGCACCACCTGATGGTCGCGGCACCTTTTCAAAAAGGTTAAGGAGCACAGTTGGACGTGCAACGACTTCCTAAGTTTGGTGAATAAATTCACCGACCCAAGTATAGCCTCTCCGTGGAGGCGTTTAGTCTTAGTTTTGAGGCTTTCGCGGCCATGATTATTATTATTATCATTGGGTTCCGGATGGATGCCGCGTTGGGTTTCAGCATTGCGCCGACGTTTCACAAACATTGCAGTCTGCATCTTCATGGCTGTGAGCTCCGATTCTGAGCTTCGACGTGCGGGTGTCGTCCTTATCTGCCCTCCCTTAGGGCGGAGGGTGGAAGGGGGGGGGTCAGCCAATCAGAGTTTTTCAATTGGTCAGCCGACCAATTAAGGATGTATTGCACCCTTTTCGCAAAAATTCACGTTTTTTGATTTTTTCTCGTAAATTATTGATCGGATTGACGCGAACAAATATACCGTTTTTGCGTTTTATTATTACGTAATGACTCACGAAATTTGATGATCGTGCCATCATTTCCTTGCGTTTTTTCTAAAACTTTTCAAAAATTCATAAAACTTTAGAAAAAATGCAGGAACATGATTACACTACCATGAAACTTCGTGAATAATGATAAAACGCAAACATGGTATATTATTTCGCGTCAAACCGATCAATAAATTTCCAGAAAAATTCAAAAAACGTGAATTTTGGCGAAAAGGGTGTAGTACATCCTTAAAAATTCGGATTGCCTGCCCCCCCTCTCCCCCCTCCACCCTAAGGGAGGGCATATAAGGACGACACTCGCACGTCGAAGCCCAGAATCGGAGCTCACAGCCATGAAGATGCAGACTGCAATGTTTGCGAAACGTCGGCGCAATGCTGAAACTCAACGCGGCGTCCATCTGGAAGCCAATGATAATAATAATAATCATGGCCGCGAAAGCCTCAAAACTAAGATTAAACGCCTCCACGGAGAGGCTATTCTTGGGTCGGTGAATTTATTCACCATACTTAGGAAGTCGTTGCTGTGGGAGATTCTTGATCGTATTACACACGAACAAGCAGTCCGCACTGCTGAGATGAGAACTGAGACTCAAAAAGGGAAATTCAAAAAATTAATTCCACAGGTCCAAGCCCCAATCCTCACCCACCCCATGAACAATCTGACCAAACACCAGCTCAGTGAAACGCAGGTGTCGGTACTCGCGAAGGGACACAACTTCGCTGTCGCCCCCAAGAAAATTCCTACTGAGGAAATTATTAGTCAAACTGAAACGGCAATTTACCATCTGCCTCAGGAGACTGGTGATGCAATCCGAAGAAAGTTGTCCAATATCCTCCACAAGGTTAATCCTCCTAGTGACAATATCACGGAGGAGGAACGCCTGGCATTGCGTACCCTTAAGGAGAATAACGACATTATTATTCTTCCAGCGGACAAAGGCAATGCCATAGTGGTCATAGACAGGGATGACTACTCCGGAAAGCTCAGTGCGATGCTAGGAGACTCCAGAGTTTATACTAAACTCAGGAAAGATCCACTCGCACAATTGAATGCAAAACCACCGAACTCCTGAAGAAAGCTGGCCTTTCGGGTGACTTGACTATGTCCCTAATTCCCAAAGAATCCTTCCACCCCAGGCTCTATGGACTTCCAAAAATCCATAAAGAGTAATTTCCCCTCCACCCTATCGTCAGCAACATTGGTGGGCCAACTTACCAACTGGCAAAGTTTCTTACGAAACCACTCCAAAAGTGGACTGGTAGAAATGATTGCTACATCCAAAACTCTCTGGATTTTATTAACAAACTGAGAACTCTCAGAACCTCTTCGGAGGATATCCTTGTGAGCTTTGATGTAGAATCTCTATTCACCAACGTCCCAATCCCTGAAACCTTGGAAACAATCAAAAAATCCAAGGACATCCCTTCGAAACTGCTCCCTCTGGTTAAGCACTCTTTGACCTCTATATACTTCCAATTCGAAGGAGAGTTCTATGAGCAAAAATCAGGTGCCGCCATGGGTTCTCCCATTTCACCTATTCTTGCAAATATGTTCATGGAACACTTCGAAAAGGAAGTATTGAAGTCAGCTTTGCGAAAACCCTCTGTGTGGTCTCGATATGTGGATGACACTTTCGTCATCTGACCACATGTGAGAACAGAACTAGCCCACTTCCTGGAGTACTTGAATGCCCAACACACAAGCATCAAGTTTACCATGGAAGTTGAAGAGAATGGATGTCTCCCTTTCCTGGATGTCCTTGTCCAACGTAACCCCGACGGGACTTTGGGTCACCAGGTTTACCGCAAGCCTACCCATACAGATAGATATCTTCATGCTAATTCCCACCACCATCGATCCAAGAAAAACTCTGTGATCAGTTCCTTGATGTACAGAGCTCTCACCATTTCCCAGCCCTCCAACATCGACAGCGAAATTGACCATCTCGAAACTGCCCTTAGCAACAATGAGTACAAGATCCAACAAATTCGAAGGATCAAGGATAGTCTACAGAACAAACTATCAGCTCCCCAAGAGGAGTCTAGACCTGAGGAGAACCAAGAAAAACCAAAGTGGCCGTCCTGGCATACCTAAGAGGTACGACAGAACGCATAAGCAAGATCGTAGGCAAACACAACATCCGAACGATCTTTCAACCTCGGAAGAAGATCGGACCGATGCTGCCAAGTGCAAAGGACCCACGACCACCCCTTAGCATACCAGGAGTTTATGAAATCCGTTGCTCATGCGGAAAAGTGTACATTGGAGAAACCGGGAGGAAGATCAGTACACGGATCAAGGAACACCAACGGTGCTCCAAATACGGTCACCTGGAAAAGTCTGCCCTGGCTGAAGACTAGATGGATACTGGACACAATATTCAGTATGACCAAGCCAGAATGCTCGCCAATTTCCAAGAATATTTCCAAAGGAGATATCGGGAAGGTCTGGAGATCCATAAGAACCCTACCAACCTAAACAGGGATAGAGGATATCAGGTGAACGCCATTTGGAAAACCGTCCTCCCGGTTTTTTAATTGGTCAGCTGACCAATTAAAAAACTCATTGGCTGACCCCCCCCCCCCCCCCTGTAGCGCCTCGCTACATCCGCACTCACGTATCAATACACGGACACAACAACGCGTGCAGTTGAGACGACTGGACATCAGTGACATCATCGCTCTCGGTCACTCAACCGTCTAATGTATACTTCTCTCTTGCACCTATTCTAACGTATTTCCGAATTCTCGCCTTTTGCGAATATTATATTCAGACAGGCGCTAATCGCCTATTACTCAACAAGTCGACCACCTAACTTGCTCTCTACTTTTGTATATATATTTCTAGACGCGATTGAATAAACGACAATTAAGACAACTAATTGTTTAGTAGTGGATTGATTAACCTTCCCGACAACACCTCGATCCCTACCTTGGTTCCGATACTGGTTGGGGTCTGGGTGAGAGACAGAATCTCAAAGGGAAGCCGCGTCTTTATTCGACAAAAGTGAAAACTTCTCGCAACCACGTGCATTCATCATCGAAAGTTTTTACCCGCGCATCCCAATGGAGTACATCCATCCTGGTGATCATCCACGCATCCTAGACTTTCCAGTGCCGCACATTCCGCGAGTTTGAGTGTTAAATTTAATTCCCCGCGATAGAAAACTGTAAAATTTCGTCGCGTGGGTACTCAACGGCAATTTCACAACGGCGTCTCGTCAATTCTAGAACATTCCAAGCGTCCGAGCGCCGAGCCTTGATTTTGCTACGTCCTTGCGAAATCAAAACAAGTGCCAGTGGTCGTGCACTAACATCATGAGGGCGACGATTTTATTTTTGTGTTATTGTGACGAGTGCCAACACATTGCTAAGCACCCAGAGACGTTGTGCTGTGCTGGTGATAATAAAGACTTCTAAATACTTTATTTCTCTCTCTCACAAGCGTCGATTTTATTTCATTTCGGATAAACTGTGAGATGACAACAACCGCGCTAACACAAAGACAAAGACAATGGTAGCAACGAGCAGCTGGAGGACAGTGACACACTGGCATGAGGGAGAGAAGAAAGTAACCTCCTGCCACTCTTCTCCGATGGAAGCCTTGAGAACATCGGGCCGACTCAACGAGCTCATCTCCGCTAGAGCATCGTCGAGAATCACATACATATTGAAAGCAACGGTGACAATAGTTCAATTACACAGACGAAGTCTGTATATGTATTTGTGTCCGGGACACTTTACCCGAATTCAAACGAATGTAGTCAGTCGGTCAGAATATACTGTGTTAGACAGACGTTGTTTACGTTTATACTGAAACCTTTATAATCTCCTACTTCCTCGCCTTATCCAGTCAATTTAAATATTCAATAGGTTATGGGCCATTTTACGCTCAATAAAAAGTCAAAAATAGAGTGCGATTGGATAAGTTTTTTGGAGGAACTGGAGTTCTTTCGATTAAAGTCAAATTCGTCGAAAGAGTGAAATTATTAAGTGACAAATAAAGGCAATTCGAAGGTCGAAAGTTAAAGATGGCTGATAGCAGCACAGGACACACTTTCGGAATCGAAAAACTCAACTATTCAAATTATCCGGTATGGAAGGTCCAAGTGGAAGCTTTGCTGATGAAGGAAAATACGTGGGAAACAGTGGATCCGGGAATATCACCCACAGATGCAACACTACTTACCAAGTGGAACGAGAGAAATTTGAAAGCCCGTGGAACGATCATGTTGCTAGTTGAGGAAGGACAAAGACACCACATTGCCGATAAGACAACGGCGAAGGACATGTGGAAAACTTTGAGGGAGCATAATGAAAAAGCTACCTTGTCAAATAAAGTGGCAATTCTGAGGCAAATCTACGATTTAAGGCTGAGTGAGGACGGGAATGCGGAGGAGCATTTGTCAACTTTGTTCAACCTAGTGAATCAAGTAACCGCACTGGGAAAGAAGTTTGAGGATGACGATATCGTGGCGATAATGCTCAGCAGTCTCCCTGAATCATACGGCACCCTCGTGATGGCATTGGAAGCTAGGCCTGAAACAGATCTCACTCAGAGCCTGGTAAAAGTAAAAATAATTGCCAAATGGAAAAGGAGAAATAATTCGTCAAATACAGGGTTTTCAGAGATAGCATTAAAGTCGAATAATCCACATCAAGGAAAACAAAGTTGCTTCTTTTGTCACAAGAAGGGGCATCTAAAAGCAACTTGTGGAAAATATCTACTCTGGAAACAAAAACAAAACCCAAAAGGTGGGATTCAAAAGGCATCCGCAGCCCAAGTTGACCATAAGGCACACAAGGACAGCGAAAACGGGAGTGGAACAGACTATGCCTTCATGGTATCAAGCAAAACGAAAACATCTACCTGGTATTTCGATTCCGGTGCTACCAAACACATGACAAATGATATAAATTTCTTCACAAAAATGAACACAAACTATCGATCGCAAGTGCGTGTAGCAAATCAACGCGTGTGTGAAGTGTTGAGTATCGGTTCAGGTACAATTGAAAGCCAGATAAGTAATGGTGAAAAGAAAGTTATAGAGCTAAATAATGTTTTGTATGTTCCATCTTTTGACAGTGGTTTAATATCGGTGAGGATTCTTGACGAAAAGGGATATAAAGTGACAGTAAATAAAGGACGGTTAACTGTGTATAAAGGAACAAATGAGTGTGTGATTGGTGACTTGAGAGGGCAAATGTACGAACTGAGACAGGTAGATCATGCTTACAGTGTCCGCGTCAGACATTCAGACAATTGTATACACACTTGGCACAGACGTTTTGGGCATCGGGATCCAGTGGCAATTAAGGCGTTGGCGAATGGCGGTCTAGCAGAGGGGATAAAGATAACAGAGTGCGGCATCAAGAAGCTCTGCGAAAGCTGTATACAGGACAAGCTGGCACGTAAGTCTTTCCCAAAGGTATCGTCAACAATAACAAAGGAGCCAATGGAGATTATACACACTGATCTGTGTGGGCCTATGAATACAGAAACTCCACGCGGTAGGAGGTATATGATGACGCTGATAGATGATTACAGCAGATTCACATTTATATTTTTATTGAGAAAAAAAATCTGAGGCAGCTCAAACTATTAAGAATTTTGTCGAGCTAATGAAAACTCAATTCAATAAAGTTCCTAAAAGTTTCAGGTCAGATCGTGGAGGCGAGTACATGTCTCATGAGCTTGACAAATATTTCAAGAGCCTAGGAATCACCCATCAGATAACGGCACCGTACACTCCAGAACAGAATGGAGTGGCGGAGCGCAAGAATCGCTCCTTGATAGAGGCGGCAAGGACGATGTTGACAGATGCGGGACTACCCAATTGTTACTGGGGAGAGGCGGTGGTAACAGCCGCGTATCTCCAAAACAGATCGCCAACAAGGTCAAGACAGAGGACTCCGCATGAGCTGTGGTATGGAGTGAAGCCTGATGTGGGGCATTTGAAGATATTCGGCTGCAAGGCTTATGCTCACGTGCCTAAACAACTGAGGAGTAAACTTGACAAGAAGGCAACAACATGTGTCATGGTAGGATATGCGACAGGAACGAAAGCATATCGATTGCTCAACAGGACCACGGGGAAGGTCATCATAAGTCGAGATACGGAGTTTATCGAGTTGGACGAGGACCAAGAGCCAACAATTCAGGAAAGGCAATCTCGAATGATCTTCATAAGGAGCGACTGTGGGGATGAGACGGAGAAGGAAGAAAATGGCGAACCAGAGCTACCAGAAAATGACAATACGTCAGAGGACTTCGAAACACCGAACGTATCAGGAAGCGATACACCAGAAATTATTGACGAGACTGAGTCCAGCGAAGGCGAAACGTCATTAATCGACAAATTGAAGGCGATTGGGGCGCTTGGTGAAAAAGATACTGGAAGTCAGGACGAGTCAAGTCTAGAAGAAGACGACGAATCAGAAGATGATGGAACGGAAGCTGTCATCAATGAGGATGGAGAACCCTCTACATTCAAGCAAGCCATGGAGGGACCAGATGCTGAAAAATGGAAAAAGGCAATGGATGACGAAATGAACTCGTTGATCCAGAATGAAACATGGGATCTGGAACCAATACCTCGAAAGAAGACGGCAATTGGCTGTCGATGGGTTTACAAAATAAAAAGAAATTCGTCAAATCAAGCAGTAAAGCACAAAGCAAGGCTAGTTGCGCAAGGTTTCTCGCAGAAATTTGGACGAGATTACGATGAAACTTTCGCTCCAGTAGTAAAAAATACGACAATCAGGATTTTATTGTCAATAGCTGCAGAGAGGAAATACATTATCAAACATTTTGATGCAAAAACAGCTTTTCTTAATGGAAAATTAAAGGAAACGATATATATGAAGCAGCCTCCAGGCTATTTATTTAAAACAAGCGGCGAAATCCTGGAATAATCATCTCGACAAGACACTGAAGAAATATGGGTATGAACAATGTTTTGCTGACAGATGTTTATACAGATCTACTGATGAGGCAGAGGAAGTGTATTTTCCTGTCCACGTGGATGACTTCATCATTATCAGTAAAACTGAGGACAGGATTGAGAAGCTGAAGAGCCAATTGAATGAAGAATT